TAATATATTTTATTGATTTTTTACAGAGAGGAAGGGAGAGGGATAGAGAGCTAGAAACATCGATGAGAGTGAAACATCAATCAGCTGCCTCCTGCACACCCCCTACCGGGGATGTGCCTGCAACCAAGGTACATGCCCTTGCCTGGAATCGAACCCGGGACCCTTCAGTCCGCAGGCTGACGCTCTATCCACTGAGCCAAACCGGTTTTTGCGGCAGTATGGTTTCTATGAAAGTTTCTTTAAGCAACAATATTCTAAATTAAAAACACATCTATTAAGATAACCTGCCACCGAAACCGGTTTGGCTCAATGGATAGAGCATCAACCTTCGGACTGAAAGGTCCCAGGTTTGATTCCGGTCAAGGGCATGTACCTTGGTTGCAGGCACATCCCCAGTAAGAGGTGTGCAGGAGGCAGCTGATAGATGTTTCTCTCTCATAGATGTTTCTAACTCTCTATCCCTCTCTCTTCCTCTCTGTAAAAAATCAATAAAATATATTATTTTTTTAAAAAAAGGTAACCTTCCCTGGCCCTAGTCTATTTGGCTCAGTGAATAGAGCATCAGCCTGTAGACCTTTAAAGGGTCCAGAGTCTGACTCCAGTTGCGGGGGGTGGGGGTGCGTACCTTGGTTGCAGGCTCCTCCCCTGACGGGCCCTGGTCAGGGCTTGTGCAGGAGGCAACCAATTGATGTGTTTCTCTCAAATCGACGTTTCTCTCTGTCTTTCCCTCTCTCTTCCACTCTCCCTAACAGTCAATGGAAAAACATCCTTGGGTGAAGATTAACAAAAGCCTATATAAAAGCCTAAGTAACCTTTACGACTAGATAACTGGCTGGTACCTATGACGTGCACTGACCACCAGGGAGCAGATGCTCAATGCAGAAGCTGCCCCCTGGTGGTCAGTGTGTTCCCACAACCAACCTCCCATGGTCCCTCCCCAGCAGCTGGCTGGCCCCGACTGGGACTAGGTGAGAGGGCCCCCAATTGCCGGTCAGGCTGAGGAACCCCACCTGTGCATGATTTCATACATTGGGCCTCTAGTTACAAAATAAAAGTCACACACACACACAAAAAAAAGGATAACCCACAGATATAGGCAACAAGAGAAGCAAACAACAGTCAAAATTCCAAATACCAAAACTAAAAGAGTGCTCCAACCAAATCCCACACTTTTCTTAGTAACAAAGCCATGCCTACCACCACGGGGCACTTACTGATTCCTACAGAATCCCAAATAGTTCAAAGATGCCCCAAAAGGTGGGTTAGGACTTTTGGTTGTGCACACTAAGGGCTTTTACCCAGTTTGGGCTCATCAGCCCACCAACAACCCTTTTCCTTTCCCTAGCTGGATGTAGCAGGTGACCAGCTCTGAGGGTGGAGGACACAGGGGAGAGATGGGGGGAAGAATGAGGGGCGGAGGTCCTTGAGTACACTTGGCAGCTGCTAGGGACTCCCAAGTTCCCTCAGGGAGTCAGTCAGCCACAGGCAGCCTGGGGAACTCCCTCCGAAGTCCAGGGGCTTACTGGGTGTGGGGGAAGGAGCTCCTGCTCGCTCCCTCGTAGCTGACTTGCCAAAACTGTAACAAGAACTCAAGTTCTGCTGCTGTCGCCACAAATAAACAAACTCATTATTAGACAGATGTTGGTAAAAAAAAAAAAAAGGAAAGAGGATATTGAGGACTCTTGTCACAAAGCCCATCTCAACATCTCAGTGTAGGCAGAGGTTTTTACAAGGAGGGAGAGGCAAAGCAGAACAACATAATCAAGGGGAGGGAGTTGAAAAGTTCTCTTACCTGCAGTCCAGCACAGTCCATTCCGATATGGATCTTGAAACTGGTCAAGTGAAGGTCCAGTGTGGGTCATCCTGGTCTTGGTCATCCTAGTTCTTTGTCATCCTGGTTTTATGGTTGAAGGTCAGCAATTCTCCTAGAGCTGGGATGACTGAAGGTCAGAGTCTGTATCTTCTGAAGTTAGTTCCTAGGATTCTTATGCTGTTTATCTACAAACTACATATTATTCAGTCAGCATTTTACAGAAACAATGTCAAAATAATGGGTGGTTTATAATGTTATTGGCTATAAAGTCCATCTGCATTCCTCAAGGCTTTTTGGTGACATCCAGAGTCCAGGCATGTGTCTTTCAAATATGACATTCTAGTCAAGGTCTTGGTTAATAAAACCACAATAGGAAACTGGCCTTATTGAATTCATGCAAAGAAACTTATTGCCATGGCTCACTCATTAAGAATTGCCTAATTTTGCCAAAACCGGTTTGGCTCAGTAGATAGAGAGTCGGCCTGCGGACTAAAGGTCCCGGGTTCGATTCCGGTCAGAGGCATGTACATTTGTTGTGGGCACATCCCCGGTGGGGGGTGTGCAGCAGGCAGCTGGTCAATGACTCTCTCTCATCGACGTTTCTAACTCTTTATCCCTCTCCCTTCCTCCCTGTGAAAAATCAATAAAATAAAATAAAAAATAAAAAAGAATTGCCTAATTTTGGAGGGATCAGGTAGGAAGAAAATATATAATTTGTCAAATTGCTTAAAAAATGTCTCTTGCCCAACTGGTGTGGCTTGGTGGTTGAGCATCAACCTACGAACCAGGAGTTTCACGGTTCAATTCCTGGTCAAGGGCACATGCCTGGGTTGTGGGTTCAATTTCCAGTAGGGGGTGTGCAGGAGGCAGCCAATCAATGATTCTCATCATTGATGTTTTTATCTCTTCCTCTCCCTCTCCCTTCCACTCTGAAATCAATAAAAATATTTTTTTAAAAGCTAAAAGTAGTGACTTTAAGATTTGTCCAGCAATCAATGTTTAACAGCTGAAATAACTTAATTTGATCTGCTCAGGTGGTTAAGATTTTTTTCCTTTTAATGTGGATTACCTCCTAGAAACCTGCATTTTAAAAGATGGCTCAGATAAGTTTGTTGGGCTTTGAATTATTTCTGGAGACACACCTCTGGCCTTGTAAAGACTTAATTTGGAAAGCAAGAACAGTCTTTTTTAACTACTACTTGAAGGACTGGCAAATGTTGGCAAAAGACTGACAAATTCTTTCACCCATTTTTGTAATTTCCTCCCCATCTGGTTATATTTTCTTTCCGGTTCTGTAGCAATTACAGAGAAATGTAGTTTACCAGTGGTACATAGCTGAGGGTCATTTTGTAACCAGACAATCAATGGGTCCATGCTGCCTGTCACTACTTGAACCAATTAAGCAGAGACAGGGTTGAATCATATATGAGCCTTTATTCCAATACTGCAGGCAGAATGGGAGAGCAGCAGGTCACCCACAAAAAACTGCTCTGCAGCCTATAAACCAGCTGCTTAGATAGGGCAGGACAAAGATTACATGGGGAGGAAGGGATTACAGGCTGGGGTGGGACTCCATTGTTTGGGCAACAAGGTTGTTCATCTTTCCAGGATAATAATAGGCGTTCTTGAATGAGAATAGACCACATTCCAAGGTTCACTTCAAGGTCCCAGGATGACTCCCAGTGCCCAGTTAGAATGTCTTAGAATAAATACAACTCCCAGCCACGATAGAATGTCTTTTCTTCTCTCTCTCTTTTTTTTTAATTTCAAGAAAAACAATTTCAAATATAATAATGCTACATGCAATAGACATTAATATTTCAAGAAAAAAAATTAAATACAATATTACCCAAACTGTACTAACATAGTATATAGTTGTAGGAAATATTAAAAATATGTCCTTTAACCAACACATGGCAGTCATGGTTAAGAGAGCATGATTAATACCTCCCTTAACCATACCTAGTCCCCGATATTCTATTTTTGTCCCTAACAATTTCTGAAAGCCATAAAGATGTGGCTGAATGGAAAAGACACATCCTCCATCCACTTCCCTTAGGAACAGCAAAACAGGTCTAACTGTAGGATAGTTAGTATCAAACTTAATGTGCCATTAAGTGGCCAGACCTTTCCATTGCCCAATTCATAGTGAGGCTAGGTTATGCTGCCAAAGAACCTTGAGGGACTCGGGGTCAAATTTCTCCCAGTTGGCAAATATGCATCCTAAAGGGGTACCTCCAGGCGCTGCGGACTGGTTCCCCACCTACAAGAGATAAATATGTCCCAAGCCAATTCAGAGGTGTCACTGCTAGCCTGGGCTATTTGGGGCCATCCTGCAGGGACCTGGCACCCCAATCCTGCAGGCACCACTCTACGATCGTCCTTTGCCAGGGAATCAGTGCTTTCAGTGCCGGTGATCTTCTGTACCTGGCCCCTTCTTGCTCTGCTTGTGTCTGGCTAACTGCCTACCACACTTACTCTATTGTGCAATGACCCTAGTTTAGAATCACTAGTTGCTTTTTTTTTTTTTTTTTTTTCCTTCTCATTGTTACTAGTCAAAGCCTGTGCGGAGACAATTAATCTAAGACTATTTAATCCTAGCCTGGGATCATCAATAATATTAATGTTAAAATTTTACAATACTTTCGTTCGTTCGCACACGTTAAAGGACAACTAAAAGGGCTTGTTAGAGACCAAAACACGGAAAGGTCCCTGGAAATAGAATTCAAAGTCATTGCTCCCAGCCTGTCCTTTGGGGTAATTAATGGTTTAAAAAAAAAAAAAAATCCCTGTTGCTCTGATACCGCTGGTGGTGCCGGGGCGGCTCACCACAGCCAGCCCCCGGGCCAGTCCCAGGCGAAAGGCTGTGCGGTGGGGCGGGAGCTTTAATCCCGACCCGGAGCCCCGCCGCCCGCTCGCCCCCGCGCCCCCTCCCCGGGCTCCGCGCGGGGCCCGCGAGCCGGGCTCGGACCCAGCGGCCGGGCGCCCGCCGCCCTCAGACCCCGCGCCGGGACCGCGGGCTGAGCCCCAGGTGCGCACGGCGGCCGGGCCCGCCCACCTGCCGTCACGCGCGGCCTCAGCCCCGCCCCGGGCGGCGCGCACCGCGGGCGGCGGGGCGGGCCTGGCGGGCCAACCCCAGAGCCCGCCTCGGCCGCGCCCTCTAAGTCAGGCCTTCAGCGGCGGCGGCGGCGGCGGCGGCGGAGGCAGGGCCGCTCCGGGGCGGGAGCTCGCGCGCGGCTAAGTCGACGGCCCGTTCCCCGGCCGGTGCCTCGGTCGGTCCCGCGGCGCGGAGTCCCAGGGCGCACGCGCGCGCGCACGCCCTCCGCGCCCCGCCCCCGCGCGCTTCCGCGTCCCGCGACCCCGCGCCGCGCGCTGCGGGCTGCCGAGGGGCGGCATGCGGGACTACGACGAGGTGACCGCCTTCCTGGGCGAGTGGGGCCCCTTCCAGCGCCTCATCTTCTTCCTGCTCAGCGCCAGCATCATCCCCAACGGCTTCAATGGCATGTCCGCCGTGTTCCTCACGGCGACCCCCGAGCACCGCTGCCGGGTGCCCGACTCCGCCAACCTGAGCAGCGCCTGGCGCAACCACAGCGCCCCGCTCCGGCTGCAGGACGGCCGCCCGGTGCCGCACAGCTGCCGGCGCTACCGGCTCGAGGCCATGGCCAACTTCTCGGCGCTCGGGCTGGAGCCGGGGCGCGACGTGGACCTGGAGACGCTGCAGCAGGAGGGCTGCCTGGACGGCTGGGAGTTCAGCCGGGACGTCTACCTGTCCACCATCGTCACCGAGGTGGGTCCCAGCCCCCGCGCTGGCACTAAGGGCCAGGGTGTGTGGGGGGAGTTCCTTGGCAGCCTTGGAGCTCACGCACTTCACCTGGGCAAAGTGCGTGCTGCTGTCACTCCCATTCCCCCATCGCGCCGCGCACTGGCGATGCCATCCATTCTCCGGCCAGGCGGCTTGGGAACGCTTTGGGCGCTGTGACTTCCATCCAGAGATGCCCTCTCACTGATGGGCAAACTCTCCCTCTGTCCCGATGGCCAGGCTGGGGAGGGAGCCAAGGAGGCCCCGGCTGCCCGGCCCGCACCAGGTTCTCTGAGAGGGTTGAGGAGCAGATCCGGGGCTTGGGACGGGGTTTTTTCTGCCAGCCTCTTGGCATCTGTCTGGAGAGAGACAAAAATGCTCCTTTTCTTTCCTGAACTTTTAAAGTTAAGGGATAGCATGTGTATAAAACTGTTTCTTGCTCCCTCTTCCAGTGACTCCTTCCTCACCCACACCCTCACCCCAAAATGACAGTCTGAGCATGCCCTCTAAGGAATTGTTCACTTTTTACTGATAGTTGGTTATCAGCCTGTTAGGATCCGGGCGTCTGAAGATCCCTTCAGAGCGACTGGTTGACCAGAAATGTTACCGCAAAGCAGCATAGAGCTGTAGTTCACAGAAGTGGGCCAGAAACCTCTCTCATTCCCCAGCACCTTGGATTTCTTTTGTTTTGGATGGCTTTGTCTGTCCTCTGGCGACCCCCTCGTCAGTAGAACTGAATGTATAACACGATGTTAATGGGTGCGGGTGGATGTGCTTTGCATCTTCCTAAGACACTGGCACTCACTCCTTGGAGTCTCAACACAACCAACCAAGCAAGCAGGGCAGTGAGAGAGCCCTCCTTGATGAGCACCAGGACGACAGGATCAGGGATTTGCGGATTAGGGAAGGCTTCCTGAAAGAGGAGGCCTCTCAGTGAGTCTGGGGTGCTCGGCTCAGCAGGTGCAAAGTCTGAAACAGCCAAGAAGGAAGGCAGAATTCAGAGGGGATCCCCCACTGGGATCTCACAGCTAGTGACATGACATTCTAGTGTCCTGAGGTGTTGACAAGAGAGACACCGGATGGAGGTAGCTGATTGTGCTTTGTGGCCCAAGATTCCAGGGAGAATCACAACTTTCTGTCATCGCAGATCCTCAGTCCTAGCCTCACAAGCAAGTCTGTCACCTTCCCGGGAGCCAGTGAGAGTTGTGGAAGCAGAGACTGTCTGTCTGGTGGCAGGCACAGGCCACACAGGGAAGCTAACCTCTACCCAGGAGTCCCTACAAATTCTGCTTCTAGCTGCTTCTGGAAGGGGGAAGTCAGAAGAAGCTCGTGGCATCTCTGGCTTTTACCCGTAACCCTTGACTTAACTCTCGTCATCTGCTCTTGTTTTACTGCCTTCACCCTGCCCTGGGTTGAGAGTGGAGGTGGTGGTACGGATAAGCGCCTGTCAGAGGGGTCCTTAGCTTAAATTGCTGCCAATTTCAGCTTTTTCATTTTTATATTTAGCCTATGTATTTTACTGTCTTAGCACTTTCGTAAGAGCTGTGTGCCCTTTCACCTACTGACAGGTTGTCAGTTTTGCTGGGAGGCCAAATTAATATCTTACTTAGCCCTCTGTTTGAAGATGCTGGAATGCCTGACTTGACATTCAGAGCTACTTGTGCCTCAAGCTGTTGCATTAACATTCTGACTCCATTTTTCTAAGGCCCTTTTTTTTCTTTTTCTTTCCCCCCCCCCCCTTAAATGCAGACCTGGCATGCTGACCACCTCTGCCCCACATCATATGCAGAAGCACACTGATCCTGAATTCTTAGTCATTTTTTTCAGCAGAAGACGGGAACCGCAGACCTCCTGTGTGTTTCTGCCTTTGTTGAAATTAAAGTGTGTACGTGCAAGGACTAAAGTTGGTGTTAGATTTACATCTTTGCTAATCCTGCAGATCCTAACATGATGCTGGATACAGAGTGTGGGTACTCAGGAAAATGGTTGTTGAATGGATTAATGAATAATTTAAGAAATCATTTTCTCCAGTTTGAGAATTGAGGAAGGAAAGGATAATTTAATTCACAGAAGGGGAATCTGAGAGTGGTTGAAAAGCATTGACTGAAATATTTGAAAGGGAATGTAATCTCCCAGCCCACGGACTGGAGCTTGTGGCAGGGATTGGGATTGGCAGAAAGAAGGGGACACTAGGGAATGAGATCGCTCTCCCACGACCCGGGAACAGTTTGGTGGTCCACATGCTTCTAGACTGGCCCTTTCTCTGGCCCCTCAGTCATCTCTGGAGTTGGGGAGTCAGCCACCCCACCTTGCTGTGCTGCTCTAATCCCAGGGAGCTTCTTGACTCAGGACTGCCCCCTCCTCTGAGAACCTGGGTGATTTCTTTTTTTTAAATTTCTTTATTGATTATGGTATCACATAATTGTCCTCATCCCCCCCATTCCCATCCCAAACCCCTCCCCATGTATGCCCGCCCCCTGTTGTTTGTGACCACTGGTTATTCTTATATGCATGCATACAAGTCCTTTAGTTGATCTCTTCCCCTTTTCCCCCCACCCTCCCCTACCTTCCCAGTGAGGTTTGACAGTCTGATCGATGCTTCCCTGTCTCCAGGTCTGTTTTTGTTCATCCTGGGTGATTTCTGACACTGCCTGGGCCTCCTGCTTTTTGGTGTCTCCATAGCCCAGCCTACAGCCAGAAAAGTTCCTTTAGAAACTTGTAGCTCTTGCACCCTTGAGTTGAAGTCTGTTCAGCCAAAGCCTGGCAGTCCTCTTTGTCCCCTTGCCTTCTGCCTGTCTCTGCTTCCCAGAAGCCCCCTGCCCCAGCCCTTGGCAGCACTGTGACTTTCTCCCTGTTGTCCCAGAAAGCTTCTTTCTCTGGACTAGCTTTTCTGTCAGCTGTATGTCATACACAGATAGTCTTGTAAGATAGGAGAGCCCCCACTGTTATCCACGAGCCACATCACCCGGGGATGTGGGGCTGGGCTGACTCTGGGTGGCGAGTCGGGTCAGACCTGGAGCTTGCGCCTCACCACTATGCCCTTGCTGACTCAGGGGGAGCACAGACCCTTATCCCTGCGTTTTGTAGCTCTGAAAAGCCAAAGAAGACCCTTGCTGGGCCCCCTGAGACCCCTGTGGCTCTCAGTGAGCAGAGTGAGCGCCTCTCTGGATGGCTGAGAACCCACACTCTGGGTCACAGTTCTGATAATTAACTCAGGGAAGGGCTGAGGAAGCAAAGAAGATCTACTCCAGAGATCAAAGTTCAGGGTTCATCTGAGCTTTGGGCAGCCAAGCACAAAGGATACTATGGTGTTGAAGATCCACAGCCCTTTTTTTCATCTGTTCACTCACTCACCTCTCTACCAAATGACTACTAAACCTCAGCTGTACAGGGCACTGCCAGGCATTATAGTGGTTATGGTAACAGACACTTCTCCTTGCCAGCCTTGGGGCAAGGATTTGTCATTAATTGCAGCAGAAAGCCGAACTAAATGTGTATAGGAATACATGGCATTCAGCAACAAGTGAGTCTTACCAGTGTGTTTGACCGTTGAAACAGTCAGGCTAGATACATCTCAGGGAAGAGCTTCTGCCCTGAGCACAGACCCTGTATCTTTTCCCTTCTAGCCAACTCACGGGCAAGAACAGTTAGTTCTAGGTAAGAACATTTAGAATCTATTTCTTATAACCAAGAAGCAGCACCAATTACATCCTACATATAAGAGACACACTTCTCTCTCTTAAAAATTTTAACAACTCTATTGAGGTATAAGTGACACGAACTGTACACAGCTAAGTGTGCAATATGAAACCTTCCGTGGATATGAAAGGCTTATTTCTTGCCAGGAAGGATAGCAAGTCTAGGCCCAATGCCAGGATCGCTCCCACATTTTTTCAGGCTGGGCCCTCAGACACTCCCCTTTCACAGCTCATCCAGCAGAGGGGTCACAATCCCAGGCTCAGGACCTGAATCTTAAATCCACGCCTTTTGTCCTGACGTTGATACCAGTTATTAACAGCCAGTACAGCCCATCCAGTGCACCAAGTGGAGGCATCAGTGAGCTGGTCTGGAGCTGCTTTAGTCATGGCTGGGGAGCCAGGAGCTCAGTGTGGGAACTCTGGATTCCTCTGTGCATATCACCCACCCCTCCTTCCAAGGAGGATTCAGGCCAAATTCTAAGGCCACTGCAGACCAAGGCCAGTTGGCAGGTGAGTGGATAGGTTGGCGAGGTGGGACCTAGTCCGTGCTTGCCCCTGTGTTCATTTTTTGAGACCTATACCTGTCCTGAGCCTACACATAGCCGTGCCACCCCCCCCCCCCCATGTGACCAGTAGGAAGTGTTAGTCCATGTTTGCTTTTGGGAGACCCAAGCCAGGCCCTGAGAATTGTCAAGAACTGTTAGTGATGGATGCAGAGCCCAGTTACTCCAGGGAGTTACACACTTGCCCGGAGTAAGGACAGTTTGAACCAAGTGGCAGCTGTGGGAGCTGGAGGTATGATCTGGGGACCTATCCCAACATGAGCATTAGTCACCTTGTTTCCTTACCAGCCCAGATTTCTCTAAAAGCCTATCTATATTGGGAGACCTGACATGGGTTGGGGGGACTATCACCCTAGAACTCACTGCAGAAGCCCCCGTAGATTCCTAGTGTAGCTCAGTTATATTAGTCCCTAACCCACACAAGAGACCTGTTGAGAAACAGCTACTGAGTCTTTTTTCATCTCTTTTGCTACAAACGCAATGTGTGCTAGCTGGGAATAGATCCCATCGCATTCAAGAGCAGCAATAGCCACCATCTGGCCCCTGAAGCTCTGCCTCACACCCTACCTAATACCCAGAGGCTAGCACCCGTCACCGAGTCCCTCAGCTCTCTTCCTCTGCTGCTCCTGTCCTGGCTTTAGCAGCCATGTCTGGACAAGGGTATCTGGGAACTGGCACCACTGAGGCTGCAGATGTAGGAAGGCTGCCATCACCCAAGCATTCAAGCCGTAGTGTTTTGAGATTCTGACCTCCTGACACCCACCTTGCCTGTCTGAGAGCTAGCCTGGAGTTCCTCTAGATACAGGAATTGGAGACCCCCAATGCTCCCCTGGGGTAGGGTCGTCCCCCCACCCCACCCCCCCGCCCAATTCTCAGCCCATCCAAAGTGCCAGAGTGGAGAGCCAGCTGTGTGGCTGAGCCATCCTTATCAGCAGCTGCAGGAATTTTCTTGTCCAGCCTGGGGGCTGCCTCCTACCCCTCCAAGGGGCCCTGAGGCTGTGCACACACTGCCCAGTAGGGCAGAGAAGTAGGCTTGTTCTCCCTGCGTCACTTAGCCTGGAAGAGATGCTTTGTTCTTGGGAGCCACACATTCCCACTGCTCCTCTGTGTTGCTGGGGAGCCTGCAGGCTCCATGGAGGGCAGGCCAGCAGCCTGGCGTCAGGCAAGCAAGAATGCCCTGGCAGGTGGCCTGCTTAGTTACTGCAGAGCGCCATCTCTCTGTTCTGAGAAACATTTTCCTGGGAACCACTAAGCTTCCTGCTTTGGCTTTTCTTCCTCGCTTTGGCTCCTTGTTAGGCTGGAACGACCTCACATCTGAGTGTCCAGCTGCTTCCCCGAGCCTGCAGGCCTTTTTATGGTAACCATGGGCAAAACCACATATTGGGTGCTGGGAAACCATGCCTGTTACCCACCCCAACCCTTGTTTTACAGAAATTGAAAGTAAGGGACACTGCAGAGGGAAATCTTGTTTGAGGTTGGATAACCAGTTAACAGTAGACTGGAAGCTAAACCCCAGTTTATTTTCTTTTTTTTTTTTAATATACCGTATTTTTCGGACCATAAGACGTACTTTTTCCCCCCCCCGAGAAGTGGGGGGAAAAAGTCCCTGCGTCTTATGGTCCAAATATAGCCTACACATATACTTTAAAAAAAAAGTTTTTTTACTTGCCCGGCTCTGTGTGGTCTCTGTGTGCTTGCCCGGCTCTAAAATGGTTCTGAATGCTGCTGTTTACTTTACAGGGTTGATTACATGTGTTTATGACTGTGATGTTGGGTTTTAATGCACATAAAATATTTTAGGACACTATTTGTTTCAGAATCTTTTTTTCTTCATTTCCCTTCTCTAAAAACTGGTGCGTCTTATGGTCTGGAGCGTCTTATGGTCCGAAAAATACGGTAGTTTATTGATTTTTTTTTTTTTTTTACAGAGAAAAAGAGAGAGGGATAGAGAGTCAGAAACATCGATGAGAGAGAATCATCAGTCAGCTGCCTCCTGCACACCCCTTCCTGGGGATGTGCCCGTAACCAATGTACATGTCCTTGACCGGAATTGAACCCGGGACCTTTCAGTCTGTAGGCCGACCTCTCTATCCACTGAGCCAGACCGGTTTCGGCAAAACCCCAGTTTCTTGACATCCAGCTCAGAGCTCTTGGCTGTAATCAGGCCTCATGTTAATGCAGCATCAGGGATCCCCGCTCTCAATATCACCAGAAGGTCCTAGAAGTCACTGGCCCAAGGTGGGGACTGGAGCAGAGCTGAAGGAACAGGTCCAGGTGGTGCCTTTCAGGCCCTTGGGCTCTGTTCCTTGCCGGATGCCTTGGCCCTTAGAGCCCCAGAGCCCTGCTCAGAACCACGCCCGTGCCATCCTGCCATGACCCAGACCCCACCGAGCGGGTTCCCTGCCCGTCCGCAGCCCCGGGCTCTGCCCAGATTCTTCAGAGGGACCACGAGAGGCCATGCCTTCTCTTGGATTGGAATGTGGTCAGAGTCCTTGTTCTCTGCCGCTCCCTTCCTCACATTAGAAGCAAAACAATGGTGCTGAAAGCTATGAACAAACCAGATGGGGAGGGAGCCCAGGCTCCCTCTGAGGGGAGCCTGCTCCCTGCCTTGCGGCCCGGGTCAGCCGTTGCTGCCTAAACAGACTCACACCCACAGAGTCACGTAAACGGAGCTGGGGAATGCAGGGTGTTCTGATTTCATCTTCCAAGAAGGTTTACATTTAAAACATTTTTAATAGAAGCGAGTGATACATCCCTTTGCTCCTCTTACAGTGGAACCTGGTGTGTGATGACGACTGGAAGGCCCCGCTCACGGTCTCCCTGTTTTTCGTGGGCGTGCTGATAGGCTCCTTCGTTTCGGGGCAGCTCTCAGACAGGTAAGGTGGGTGTCTGTCTCCTGCAGCGGTAGGGGACCCCGGCACTGAGCAGAGGAGTCTGTGTGCCTGGCTCATGACTTCACGTAGTAGTGTTCTTTCAGCCCAGGGCCCTGCATTTTCAAAGAAAGGGAAGCCTGATCTATAGTACGGACACCACACCAACTAAAGAGAGCCAACAACCTCCTCTCCCTAACTCGTGCCAAACAAAACAACCTGAGCTGTATTCGTGTAGGATCAGCTGGATTTGACCAGGAAATATGCCAGGATTTATTTCTGCACTAGTCTGGCTGTCCCTCCCTAGGTGAGCATGACTCTTTCATGTTCCCAGGCATGGGAGAGGTAGACACACACACACACACACACACACACACACACACACTGTATTGTAGGTCTTAAGGCGTACCATGGATGGCTGTTGCTGTATTTGGCCTGCGGACTGGGGGGGTCCCGGGTTCAATTCCGGTTGCGAGCATGTACCTTGGTTGCGGGCACATCCCCAGTGGAGGATGTTCAGGAGGCAGCTAATCAAAGTTTCTAGCTCTCTATCCCTCTCCCTTCCTCTCTGTAAAAAAATCAATAAAATATATATATTTTAAAAATGAGATCTCAGTAGCCAGTAGGGACGTGATAGGCAGAACCTGTGTCCACAGGACTGTTGCCCCTTAGCTAAGAGGCCAGTGGTTATTGCCCTTACTTCACAACAGGCAGAAAATGCGCTATTTTCACCTATAATCAGATTATTTATGGAATTCCAAGGCTCTTAACTCAAGGTCCATTCATGACTTAGGGAGTTCATGTACCCTTGACATTACAGGCATAATTTTAGAGATTATATGTGAGCATTTAGAGAGGTCCGGAGTTTCTGTGATGTTTTCAGAGGGGTTCGTTATGTTACTCCCTTCCCCGGAGCTATGGGGTCTGTTGGAGAAACCCAGGGCAAGAAAGTGGCCTACAGCAAGGTCCTTGGCTGCACCGTGTCCCCCAGTGGAGAGGAGTTCCAGCATCGTCCCAGCTGGTTGGTGTCTCAAATAGAGAAGCTCGGGATTAGAAAGTTCGTATTACATAAGAACAAAGCCATTTCATTCTGTAGCCCTGTTTCAGGGTGATATTTTGGCATGTTTACATCTATGGATTATTGTTCTTAACTGAGGAGTCTTTACTCATGAAAAATACATGCATTTCTCACTAGATTTGTCTTTTCCAGAATATCATTCAGCGATTTAAAAAAAAAAAAAAAAAAAAAAAAGGACAGATTCCTGTGGTCACCAGTGAGCATTGAGAGTTAAGTAGGCTATCACCATTGACTGCTAATTCTAGATGAGCCACAGACACTTGTCCTTTCCGGGGAAGGGTCTATGCTTCCCCATACCCTTCATCTAGCAACAAGCACCTGCTGATCCCTGATAGATATTTAACAAACATGTGGAACTTAGTGTGTGCCAGACACTCTTATAAACGCCGTACTGAGTAAACAATACTGCTATAATCTTCATAACCCTGTGAAGTAGAAAGTGTTAGTATTTCCATTTTTAAAAAAATATATTTTATTGATTTTGTACAGAGAAGAAGGGAGAGAGATAGAGAACTAGAAACATCGATGAGAGAGAGTCATCAATCAGCTGCCTCTTGCACACCCCCTACTAGGGATATGCCCGCAACCAAGGTACGTGCCCTTGACCAGAATCGAACCCGGGACCCTTCAGTCCCCAAGCCGACGCTCTATCCATTGAGCCAAACCGGTCTCGGCAGTATTTCCATTTTACAGATGGGGAAAATAAAACCCAGAGGAGTTCAGTGACTTGCCCCAGTGTCACCCAGCCAGCAAGTGGCAGACCTAGGATTTGGGCCCAGGTAGTCTTGATCTTCTGTGTTGCATGGGCCTTGTTCTTCTAGAACTTGCCTCCTAGCAAGGCAGAATGTCTTAAACGTCCAGTGGAGGGGAGCACTTGCCATCCTCAGTGGTAGTAAGTGATACAGAGGCGATGTGCAGGTGTTAAGAGAGTTTGACAGAGGGGGCCAGGAGAGGCTGTCCCGAGGAGGCGAAGCATGCACCAGGAGTTGAAAGATTAGTAGAAATTAGCCAGCTAAGGGAATGGAGGAAGGAAAAAGCACTCTGGGTGCAAGAGAGCAGCATGAACTGGAGCCTAAACTAAAGAAAAGGCGTAACAGCATATGTTAAGAATGGGAAAAAAGTCCTCTGTGGTGGAGATGTGGAGAGTGGTTAGAGACGAGCGGTGAGGCAGGCAGAGGCCCAAGCAGAAGAGCAGGTGGTTAGGAGTGATGGTTAGGAGCTTGGACTTTAGTCATAGAGCATTGGGGAGCCATTGAGAGTGTTTTAAAGCAGGAGTGTGGCAGTTTTTAAAAGATTATGTGATAAACTTTGTGGAGAAAGGATTGAAGGGGGAAGCAAGAGAGGGATTGTGGAGAGACTAATTAAGAGGTTATCACAATAATTTATGGAGGAGATGGTGGTGGCTTGGACTGGACTACAGGTGGTATAAATGGGTAGGAGGTAAAGCCAACAGGACTTGGCTATAGGTTGGATGCAGGAAATGAGGAGAGGATGGTTTCTGGTCTACACAACCGGACAGGTGACAATACCCTTCTCTAAGACAAATGGCTCCGGAAGAGGGGAAGATGGTGAGTTCAACTTGAGCATACTGAACTTGGGTGATGATGAGACTCCTAAGTGGAGGAGTTAAGTATGCAGTTGGATATATGGACATAGTGCTCCAGGAAAGGTTTGGGCTGAAGAAGCACATTTGGGAATTATCAGCTCATAGAACACTCATCACAGCCCCAAACATGGATGAGATTACCTGGCTAGAATGTAGACTGAGAAGAGGGGACTGAGCTTAGAGGCTCTCCAAGTGGGAAGTGCCCTCTCTCTGAGTTAAGTGGCAGCTGAGACTCAGGGTAATTACTTGGATATAAACAGGGAGAAGATACCCCAAGCTCAGAGTTGAAACTCAATGCATTTTTCATGCATCACGGGTGAGGCAGGTCTTTGTGGGATAGCCTGAGGGCCTAACGGCTGTGTAACACCCTGATTACCTGAGGAAAGTGTTTAAGTTCCAAAGGACTATCCAAGTAAACAGAAATAAATCTCATGAATATCTTAAGGACTACGTTAGTCTTTAGAAGTGCTAGTACAGTGTTTTTCAAAACTTTTTTAAAAAATTGTCAGCTGACTTCTTTTAAGTAGGATCATTTGAGTCCAATAAATGAAACAGCCGGAAGTACGGCTGTTCTGGTTGTAGCCCCTACAGTCAGCCCTGAGCACCATCCCTCAAGCTTGTCTGCACCCCCACGGGAGGCCCAGGGAGTTTCCTTTCTCATTACCTCTAAGTCAACCATTTCAAAACCTAAGTCACACAAATTACCTAAGTGCAATAGATTCATTACCTCAACTTGTCTAGGATACCAGTAGTAACTTTTTAATGTAGGACAAAGGTTTAACCTTCATGAATAAGTAAGGCTGAAATTCAAGAGCAATACAAATAATCTTGGGGTCAGAGACATAGAAGCATCGAACAGACCGTCAAACCTCAGAGGGAAGGCAGGGGAGGTAAGAGATCAACCAGAGGACTTGTATGCTTGCATGTAAGCATAACCAATGGACACAGACAGTAAGGGGGTGAGGGTATGCGTTGGAGGATGGGGGCGCCTGGGGAGAGGTCACTGAAGAGGGGCCGGGGGAGAGGGGGAAGGAGTCATAAGTAATACTTTAAACAATAAAGAATTTAAACTTCAAGAAGTCTGGGATTGTTAAAGCCTTTTATTTGACATTGAGTTAGTTTTTTGTGCATGAATTATGAGAGGTACAACCCTGGGGAGAGGTAGACTGGTATTTCCTGGTTTTGTAGGCTTGTATATGCTTGATATTTTGTTGACATATATTTTTTGTTTATTTTATTGATACTTTTTTGTTGTCATACTTTAAAAGTGAGAGTCTCTGTACAACCAGTACTGCCAGGGGCGGGTGCTATGTCAGGGTTCCCCGGATCTTTCTCTTTCCCATCAGCCCAGGAAGCCCTTGGGCGGAAAAGACAGAGAAAGCAGGGATAGAGGTTACAGCTCTGCCTGCAGCAAGGGGCTGCCCTTAGACGGCCTGTAGGGTGCTCTGTAACAAGAAAAGGCCGGAAGGGGGTGAGGGAAACAAAGTCTCCTTCTAGACCAAGTCTCCTACTGTCAGGGTTTCCCACTTTCACGCTATTGACATTTTGAGCCAGAGAATTCTTTGTTGTGGGGTGCTATCCTGGGCTTTTTGGGATGTCTAGATCATCTCGGGTCTCTGTCTACTACTATATGCCAGTAGCACTAGCCACCACCACCCCAAAACAAACAAATAAACAAATAAAACAACCCCCAGTGCAGTGAGTAGAAGCACCAGCTCTTCAATGTGGCTGCAAGGCCTGTGCAGTGTAGGTCCAGCCCACTCTGCAGGTTCCTGGTGAGCAGGTGACTCCAGCCACAGTTGTGTGTTCCCCTCTTAACCAACCTGCCTCTGGGGCCTTCCTTGACCTTGCAAGCTAACTCAGGGTCCCTGGTTTACATTACCCTGGTTCCTTATGCCTTGTGCCTTCAGAGTACCTATCAGAAATTGCTAAATAGCCCCAGCTGGTTTGGCTCGGTGGATAGAGCATTGGCCTTGGGACTGAAAGGTCCCAGGATTGTGTTTTGTTTTTTTTTTAATATATTTTTAAATTGATTTTTTACAGAGAGGAAGAGAGAAAAATAGAGAGTTAGAAACATCGATGAGAGAATCATCGATCAGCTGCCTCTTGCACACCCACTATTGCAGATGTGCCCGAAACCGAGGTATATGCCCTTGACTGGAATCGAACCTGGGACCTTTCAGTCCACAGACTGACGCTCTAGCACTGAGCCAAACCAGTTTCAGCTGAAAGGTCCCAGGATTGATCCCAGTCAGGGCACATGCCCAGGTTGCAATCCCAGTAGGGAGCATACAGGAGGCAACCAATCAATGACTCTCTCTCATCATTGATGTTTCTATGTCTCTTTCCCTATCTCTTCCTCTCTGAAATCAATAAAAATATATATTTTTTAAAAATTGCTAAATAAAAGGTATTCTCATGTAATTAATGGTTTCTTTGCTATATTGTGAATATCATTGAAAGCATGCTCCCTATCCTTACTCCCCCTTGCCAACAAGTACTTTTCTCTAGGGCCTTATCTTACTGTCCCATCATTAAGGAGACCTTCCCTGAATGCCTACATGCCCAGTTTGTAGGCAGAGAATCTGAGTCCACCAGTGCCCAGTCCAGGATAGGTTCCTATGTTGTACCTGGGGCACCTGAGTGCTGATCCTTCAGTGCACCTATCTTAGTAAGGTGGTTATTTGACTAAAATGTGATCACTGCCAAGTTGGGTAGCTCAGTTGGTTGAGCCTTGTCCTGTGGACCAAAAAGATTGCAGGTTCAATTCCAGTCAGGGTAAGTACCTAGGTTTGTGGGTTCTATCCCAGGTTGGGACACGTATAAGATGCAATCGATTGATGTTTCTTATATCAATGTTTCTCTTTCTCTCCCTTCCTCTCTCTCTAAAAATCAATTAAAAAGATCCTAGGGTGAGGATTTTTTTTAAGTGATCACTGTCTATTTCTCTACCTATCCTATATAATAAAAGCCTACAATGCTAAGTGGTCATCCATTCATCCAATCAAAGCATAATATGCTAAGGCTGCTCAACTGCTCGCTATGATGTGCTCTGACCATCAGAGGGCAGACAGTTGACCTGTCCCTATGACATACACCTACCACCAGAGGGCAGACGCTCTGACTGGTAGGTTAGCTTGCTGCTGGGGTCCAGCCAATCAGGACTGAACAAAAAAAGCCAGACATGCCCTGGAGCCCTCCTGTGGGCCTTCCCCAGCTCCAGTCATGTACCAATGGGGTCCCTCGGCCTGGCCTACACCCTTTCCCAATCCAGGACCCCTCAGGGGATGTCCAAGAGCTTGTTTCAGCCTGATCCCGTAAGCCAGGCCGAGAGATCCCATTGGTGCACAAATTCGTCCACCAGGCCTCTAGTAAACTATTAGCTCCTAAAACTTATAGGGCAAAAACAGCATTTTTTTTTTTTTTTTAATAAGTATCTTTTTTGGGACCACCATGGTGCCCAGGCTGCGTATTAGTCCTGTGGAGGGTGGGGGGATAACAGCCTAGGAACTGCGAGACTGGTACCCTAGCAGTACTGTCCACGACCAGTCCCCAATGGTCCTGGAGAAAGCTCCTCTTGGTGGAGCCCCTTCCTACCGCCTTCTCCCCGCTGGTTCTGTCACTCTGCTTTCTTTCCCAGGTTTGGTCGGAAGAACGTGCTGTTTGTGACCATGGCCATGCAGACAGGCTTCAGCTTCCTACAGATCTTCTCCAAGAGCTTTGAGATGTTTGCCGTGCTGTTTGTCCTTGTAGGCATGGGCCAGATCTCCAACTATGTGGCAGCGTTTGTCCTGGGTATGGCCATCAAATTGGAGTTGAGTACTCGATCCTGTGTTTCACCATCATCTCACCACCCACTCTCTGGAGCCATCTGTGATTTCCCTCAAGGGGAAGTGGTCTCTGGCAATACCAACCAGGGCCTCTTGGAGAACCCAGTCTGTAGGCAGAGAATCTCAGTCCACAGAGTGCCCAGCCTTGGGTCCCCAGCAGCATGTAGCCTAACTGCTATATGCCAGTTCTCTTCCGGCCTCTGAGGTGTAGCTCCTTGGTCTTATTAGGACTTGATGGCCATTTTACTACAACCTACCCAAGATCCTCCATTCAGCAAAAAGGGCCTGCCACTGCCCAGGGCTGAGGTAGCTAAGCAAAGAGGGAAGTATGACATAAGGAACAGGGCCAAGGAAGAAATGGCCTCATGCAAAACACCGGCCAGTGAAGTTGGCTAGCAAGAATAAATTGATAGGATCAGGCTTTTGTCATGTGAGCCTTGGGTTTTAATTAAGAGTTCACAATGCAGGACTTTTGCCTTTCTCACTGAAAAGTTACCAGTCTCACTGTTTGGAGGAATCTAACTCAGCGTATAGGTCTTTCGGTTGTACTGTTGAAAGGATTATTTCTTTTCACATTTAAAGGAATATTTTTTCACATTTAAAGGATAATAGTCAGGCTGTGCAGACTTCCCCTTTAATGAATTCTTCCTCCTGTGAGGGTTACATTTTGAGGCCTAATGTGGCATCTGTAACATTTGGCTTCAGGAAGTGGTGAAATTTTCATGAGAGAACTGTCACCGAGAGGGACGCCTACAAATAGTCAGAGAGGGCCGAGGTCAGAATCCCAACCCTCAGGAGGGCCTAGAAATTATTCTGGCAGCTTTCTTGCCTTCATGTTGACAAGAGAAGATGAATAGGGAAAGAACCTAAATTAAAATGCTAACATGACTCCTCCCTTGTTTTGATCAGGAACAGAAATTCTTGGCAAATCCACTCGAATTATATTCTCCACGTTAGGAGTGTGCATATTTTATGCAATTGGCTACATGCTGCTGCCACTGTTTGGTTACTTTATCAGAGACTGGCGGACACTGCTGCTGGCGCTGACGCTGCCAGGGCTGCTGTGCGCAGTGCTCTGGTGGTGAGTATGCCCCAAGGGGGAGGAGGTGGGTAAACACCAACCGGCTATCTTCCGTCTTCCTCCTGGCCTTCACTAGGGGGCAGCAGCAACCCACAAATCCCTATTTGGGCTCCCAGAGACAGGAAGTGTAAATTACAGTCACATTTTGTTCTCAGCCGAGTTGTTGGGGGTGCTGGAAGGGGCATAAATGTCTCCCTTTTCAAAACTTCAGTTCTTGACCTCACAGCCCTTTCGTGCTGATACATCAGTATGGCAAAAAGCCTCTCTCAGGCCACACACAAAGGCGAGCATGCGGGTCAGCTCACCACCAAATCTCTCTAAACCTGCTGGTAACACCTCAAGAAGTTGTGCTGTGAATATCTTCATGGGTTTTTGTTGGTGGCGGGAATCGCCCTTTGCAGGTGGGGATGTTGAGAGCACTGCCCCACATGCTGCGAACATTCCAGGGCATTTGAGAAGGGATACAGAGCTCAGCATGGGTCCTGGTCCTGACCCGAGGGCTGGAGCTACCTGATGAGGTAGAAAGTAAGATCCACATACTCTCAAAGCACCCAGATGCCTTAGTAAGTGTAGGTAGAGAGTCTGACAAGTCAGTTGGGTGAATCCGGTGGAAATGAGGAAAAACTAGAAGCTCAGAGGCCAGTGTAGAAACTTCTGTGGATGCCAGGATCAGGCAGAGGCGTACAGGTGGGCAAGAAGGTGGGCAAGAAGCTGGGCTGGGCCGAGCTCACACACTCCAGGCTTCAGGAGCCCAACTTGCCTGGTCTCCTGAGTGTCCAGCAGGTGGCACCACTGCTCCGCAGAAATGGAGGTGGCCAGCCAGTGGAGGCACCCGGTCACGGTGAGCAGGCCCCTCCAAGTTCTGTGCACTCCAGTGTACTCAAAAGCTCACACTCCAGGTTCTTATTTGGTGTGGCATGGATCATCTCTTTGCTTCTGACTCGGATATTCCCCAAACCTAGCTCTGGTTCTGAGGCCCCATTTCCCACCTGGCCCCCATTTTACATCTGGTCTGTTAAGCAGGAATGCCTCAGAGAGCTTGCTTCTTGTACTTCAGGTTCATCCCTGAGTCCCCCCGATGGCTCATCTCTCAGGGACGATTTAAAGAGGCAGAGGTTATCATCCATAAGGCTGCCAAAATCAACGGGATTGTTGCACCCTCAGCCATCTTTGAACCAAGCGAGGTAAGCCCTGTATGGGAGATGGTGGGAGGGTCTCCGTGCCGTGGTTTGAGGGCAGCATTACAAAGGCCAGAAGCTCAGCCGAGTCAGTGTGGCTCAGTGGTTGAGTGTCGACCTACGAACCAGGAAGTCACGGTTTGATTCCTGGTCAGTGCCCATGCCCAGATTGTGGGCTTACTAGTAGTTCCCAGTAGGAGGAGTTCTGCAGGAGGGAGCTGATAGCTGATCAGTGATTCTCTCTCATCATTGATGTTTCTATCTCTCCCTCTCCCTTCCTCTCTGAAACAATAAAAATAAAAAATTTCAGAAGCTGAGAAGAAGGTGCTAACTACCTAAATCTCTTCACTTTTCTTGTGGATTTTAGGTTTTCATACTTTATACACTTCTTTTCTAGGCAATCATATAATCTTATTACTTTTAATCATAAGCACTCTTTGTGAGTGAGGGGCTAAGTCGTCTCCAATCGTAAAAAATAATAATAATAATAATAATACAGTATGTAAAATATGAAGCAAACACAGTTTTGGAGGTAGAAATGTTTAGTCTCCTCCTGGGGTTACTTGTTGCATGACCTTGGAGCCAGGTCCTTTTTGGTATCCAACCCTTTACCCTATCCCACCTCCTGGCAAACCCTGTTCTCATGCCACGAGTAACCTCCTGGCCCTGCCTGCTTCCCGGGTCTTGCTTCTTCCTATTCTCCCAGAGCGTCCATCCTCGGCAGCAGACAGTTCTCTTCAGTCTCGTGACAGTGAGAAGAGGCCAGACGTTGCCGTTGCTGGCTGCTGCAGTTCTGGAATGTGTGTCTGATCTGACAGGAAGATAGGGGGCCAGCTGTGAGAACAGCCACCAGCAGTCATGCCGGAGTGTGTGGAAGGCATGTTAGAGACACTCGGGACTCAAAGACGCCGAGTGGGGGTTCGGGAAAGAGACCAGCTACACGCAGCAGAGACACTGCTGGCGCCCGGCCAGCCCTGCCAGCCTCACCGCCAAGCAGTGGCCCCACAGCCGCTTCCTCCCAGCACCGTCGGAAAGGGCTGGGATGCCAACGGGCAGGGCAGGAGTGGGTGGCAGAGAGGGCTTTGCAGAGAAGCCGCTTTGGTGGCTTCTCAGCGAGGGGTCAGTTTGGGTGAAGCCATAGTCCCTCTGGCATCCTTGAGGAAATGAGGCTATCCATTAAGTCTAAAGTTGACCTTTGGTTGAACTGCTAACTCTGGGAAAACAAGCTCCAAAGCTGGGTTTGCTTAAGAAAGAAACATCAGTGTGTTTAGACGTGTGGTTTATTAATGTCCTTGGCTATGCCGAATTTCATAGGAAGTTCCTCTGGGTGAAGCTGAGGTCAATTTTCCTGTTTTTCTATCTGAAATGTTTTTGTTTTTGGAAGTGGACCAGAGACTGCATGGTACGAAGACTCAAAACATTAATTCTTTTTAAAATAGCAGATCAATAAACCACACAGCCAGTTTCTCTCTGACCCAGAGGGCAGGGATCCAGCCTCGGGAAGGAACGCTCAGGGGCTGGCCGGCCTGGAGCATGGCCACTGCCCGGGGTGGTGCTGCAGGGGCGGCCGTGGGCTTGGGCCTGCCTGCTGTGGCTGCGTCCCCCAGGGACTGGTCTCTTATTTTCCCTCCTCATTCCTGATGCTAATGTGGTGCTGGCAGGGCCAGGGGAAGCCTTGTGCTGCCCAAGATGCAGTCACTACATTTACTCTCCTTTTTTTTTTTTTTTTTTTTTATCAATCTTTATTGTTCATATTGTTACAAAGGTTCCTCTTTTCTTCCCCCCTCCACCAGGTTCCCACCCCACCCTCCGCCCCCTCCTCATCCCCCATTGTCCTCATCCATAGGTGCAGTTTATGTTCAGTCTCTTCCTCCCTCCCTTTCCTCGATAGTAAATCCCTTTTCAGATAGTAAATCAGTTACTTAGCATTTTCTCATATCAATAATACCACCACATGCCCAATGATACACTTCACACAAAAGACATTTCCAAATAGGTCAACCAGCCTCATCCAGGCCCCACCCAAGGCACTCACAGATCAACACCCCAGCCCTATACTAACTCAACACATCCAGATCTAAGCCTTCATCACTTGATTCAGCAGACCCTCAAGTTCCCGGAAAAGTTTCCAGCCATGTCTGAGAGGCAGCCGTGGGGCAGGGGCAGGCAAGGAGCGAGCTGTACCGGGCCTGGCTGCTCCGGGCCTGGCCTCTGTTGCTCTGGTTCGTTCCACAACCAGCTGCTCCGGGTCTGGTCACCGCCGCTCCCGACCTAGTTGCTCTGGACCTGGCTGCTGCTGCTCCGGGCCCAGCCACTCCCAGCCTGGTAGCCGCTGCTCAGGGCCTGGCCACACCAGACCCGGCTGCTCAGGGCCTGGCCGCTCCCAGCCTGGTAGTTGCTGCTCCGGGCCTGGCCGCTCCCAGCCTGGCAGCTGCTGCTCCGGGCCTGGCCGCACCTGACCTGGCTGCTCTGGGCCTGGCCGCTCCCAGCCTGGATGCTCCGAGCTTGGCTACTGCTGTTCTGGGCCTGGCTGCTCCCAACCCGGCTGCTCTGGGCCCGGCTGCCCCGGGCCCGGCTGCTCTGAGTCTGGCCGCTCCCAGCCTGGATGCTCCGGGCTTGGCTACTGCTGTTCTGGACCTGGCTGCTCCCAACCCGGCTGCTCTGGGCCCGGCTTCTCCCGGCCCGGCCACTCCGGGTCTGGGTGTTCCTGGATTGGCCTCCCTGGGCTTAGCTGCCTCCGCCTCAGGCCTGGCTGCCACTGCCCCAGGTCTGGCTGCTCCAGTGCTGGCTGTTGTTGCTCTGGTTCTGGCTGCTGCTGCTCTGGGGCCTGGCCATTGCTGCTCCGGGCCCGGTTGCCACTGCTTTGTGCCTGGGCACTCTAGGCCTGGCCGCCGCTGTTCCAACATTCTGTCCTTTTTTTTTTTTTTTTTTTTTTTTTTTTTTTTTTTAAAACGCATTTATGTTGCAATGTTGGCTGGTGAGTTGAGTTCTGACTTAGTCTTTGATTTTTCAAGATCTTTGTATTCTTTCTTAAGTAATTTTACTATCTTTTGCTCTCACTTGATTTCTTCACATTGAGAACTTTGCTTTCTTCCTCCTTGTCCTGGGAGCTCAGCAGGTTGGCCTGTGGCACCCCTTTGTTCTCCGCGGGCTCCTGTGCTGCTTCAGCCTGTTGCCGGGGTTGGCGCCGCCCAGGAAGCAGCCCCCGGCCTTGGCTCCGTTGCCCGCGCTCAGAGGTCGAAGGCTCAGGGGCACTCCCCCCCTGGGGGCCCCCGTCGCCCGGCTCCCTGCCGGCGCCCGGCTGGCTGGTGTCCGGCAGGGGCTCCTGCTCCCTGTTGCATTCCTCCAGTCTGGAGCTTCCCCCCCCCCCCCCCCCCCCCCGCCCTTTCCGCTAGGGGAGTCTAGGATCAGAGTCAACAGACTGTCCTCTGCGCACAGTGCGCGCGACTCTGGGAGCTCCGCTTTTTGCCACTCCCCTGGGATTCCGCCTCACAGCCCTGTCTCCCCCTGCCCGAGCCTGGGTCCCCGGGTCTGGTCCAGGACTGGGGTTCAGAGCAGTCCGGACTGAGGCTCAGCGCCGCTGGAGGCTTTGTTTCTTCCCGCTAGGGTAATCCAGCATCAGAGTCAACATTCAGTTCTCTGCGCGCAATGTGCGCGCGACTCCGGGGGCCCTGCTTTTCGCTGCTCCCCTGGGATTCCGCCTCACAGCCCCGTCTCCCCCTGCCGGAGCCTGGGTCCCCAGGGTCTGGCTCATAACTGGGGCTCAGCGCTGCCGGTTCGGGGGTTCAGCCCAGGCTGGGGGTCCCATTTCCTTCCTGCTAGGGAACGCCAGGCAGCACCCAGCCCTCTCCTCTCCGGCTGCGACCTCTCCGCGCGCGTGCGTGCAGGCGCGCAGCATGTCTCCGTACCTTGGGCTTTTTTTCAGCTCCTCTGATTTTCCTTCTGGTTTTCTCTTTTCTTCTTGTAGAATTTTCAGTCAGTCGACTACCTGTAGCTCTGGGCGATGTCCACTCTACATTTTAGTTGTATTCCATTGAAATTGTTGTGTGCTGCTGCGGTTAGGTGTCTACCCGAGCAGCCATCTTGGATCTTCTCTCCTCTCATTTACTCTCCTTTTTAAGAAAGAAAGAAAGCCCTCCCCAACTCAGAGAGGAAGATGCCAGGGTTTCAGGCGTGCTGTTGGATCTCTGAGTCTCCGGCCTGCTCTCCCTCCTATCTCCTTGTCGTTTCGTCCCTGCAGCTACAAGACCTAAGCTCGCAGAAGCCGCAGTCCCACAGCATTCTGGATCTGCTCCGAACCCGGAACATCCGGATGGTCACCATCATGTCCATCATTCTGTGGTGCGTACGTGAGACCGTCTGAGGCTTCCACGCGACGCCTCTGCAGTGGCTGTCATGCATGCCCTTCTCGTTGGCGAATGTGGTTTAGTCAAAAACGGAGAGGCCATGTCATCAGAAAGTAAAAGGGATGTGTCTTGCCATCAAAGAAATGAGCATGTTATGATTCCTTTTTTTTTTTTTTTACATATTTCTTTTTTTTAAGGTATTTTATTTTATTATTTTGTTAATCCTCACCCAAAGATATTTCTCCATTGATTTTTTTTTTGTGTGTGTGTGTGTGTGTGTGTGTGTGTTTGTTTGTTTGTTTTTTTATTAGGGAGAGTGGAAGGGAGAGGGAGAGACAGAGAGAGAAACATCGATGTGAGAGAGACATCAATGGTTGCCTCTCACACGTGCCCCAACCAGGTCCAGGGCCGGGGATCAAGTCTGCAACCAAGGTATGTGCCCTTGACTAGAACTGGACCCGGGACCCTTCAGTCCGAGGGCCAACGCTCTATCCACTGAGCCAAACTGGCTAGGGCATGATTCTTGATGGAATCTCAGAAAAGGAAATGGAAACTGTTGTGGGGGTTTTGGGGAGAAACATGGGACCTTTGAGGACCCCTCCAGGTCCTGAGGTAAATCCTTGCTCGCGTTGGGTCCTAGTTTAGTTGTTCCTGCCCCTGTGCTCCAGGCAATGGCTAAGGAAGACAGACAGGGCCGAAACCGGTTTGGCTCAGTGGATAGAGCGTCGGCCTGCAGACTGAAAGGTCCCAGGTTCGATTCCGGTCAAGGGCATGTACCTTGGTTGCGGGCACAACTCCAGTAGGGGGTGTGCAAGAGGCAGCTTATCGATGTTTCTCTCTCATCGCTCATCGATGTTTCTAACTCTCTATCCTTCTCTCTTCCTCTCTGTAAAAAAAAATCAATAAAATATATTTTTTAAAAAAGAAAAAGAAAAGGAAGACAGATAAAGCCTTCAGGAAAGCTCTCAGTGAAGACGCCATGTTCTTTCAGTTACAGAGGCTGCTGAGTACTTTCTGGGAGTCTGTGTGGAAGCAGGATCCCTCCTTCTGGGTTGCTGAGAGAGTGTCCTGGAAGAGGGCCACAGTCTCGATGTCCTTGCCAGTTCCTTCTAATGCATTTCACCAAGTGTGTCAGGAAGGGAGTTGATTTGCCGGAGAGCATGTGCTCAGCCACAGACGCTTGGGGTTAGAGGCCACCACCTGATCCTGTGGGTGAGGAAGGCAGACTTCACCTGAAGTCTCCACTACTACGAGGCGCCAGTCTTTGGGCAGCCAGCCATTTTGCTCCCTTAGAGATGAAGAGTCATCCATTTCCAAGAAATAGCCCAGGATCCCTCAGGGCAGTGCCCCGCCTGGGATCAGCCTCAGACAGTGCCAGCATTCAGTGTGTGCCATAGACTTGCCAGTCACCCCTGCTGTTCCCCCGGCACACCTCCGGCTCTGGGTTTCCCAGGAACTCCTGCTCCTGCCCCTTTCCCTGGTTGTACCGGCTGTGGTTTCACTCTGCAGATGAGTCCAGTCTAACCATAACGGTCCAGTCTGACAGAGAGAATGCCCTGGGCACAGGGACGCCAGGGTGGGGGGTGTGGCCTGCAGATGAGAGCCCACGTGACCCCGCCATCGGAGCTCCCTCTCCTCCCGGAGCAGGTGGTGTTGGGTTCACTGCTTCTGACCAGCCTCTTCCTGGCTGGTTGCCACAGGGGGTCTGCTCTGGCTCTTTCTCCAAATGCTTCACCATGATCTTATCCTTCCAGCCCTCTCCCACCCCACTTGCTGACTGCTTCCTCTCACTCCCCAGCTCCTCTGTAGTTGCTGGGTTTGGGGAGGCTCAGAGACGGGGAAGTTGGCTTACTGAGAGCTTCAGCTTAGAGTTTCTAAAGCCGTCAGGCAGGTTGGAGATGCGTTTCTTTGTCTTTTCATTTTGTTTGTGTGTGTGTTTTTGTTTTGTTTTGTTGTTATTGATGTTGTTTTATCAAGTAAATCTGTCTCAATTGGATGTCTTTTTGCTGCTTGGGATCCTCTGAAAATACACTGGGCCGGAGCCTGTGTTCAATCTGCTGCCCTCCCCTAAGGGTCGTCGTGAATTCCCTGCATCGTTGCACTTGGAAGGTCCTCTGTTGGCGGCCCCAGGTGGATGCTGCTCCTCCAGCTCCCTTCTGCGCTCTGTTGCAGGATGACCATAGCGGTGGGCTATTTCGGGCTCTCCCTGGACACCCCTAACTTGCACGGTGACGTCTATGTGAACTGCTTCCTCTCGGCTGTGGTGGAAGTCCCCGCGTACGTGCTGGCCTGGCTGCTGCTGCGGCACCTGCCCCGCCGCTATTCCATGGCCACCGCCCTCTTCCTGGGCGGCAGCGTGCTCCTCTTCGTGCAGCTGGTGCCCCCAGGTAGGGAGCGTGTGCGTGTGCGTGTGCGTCCGGGGTCTCCGCTGAGCTGCTCAGCCTCTACCAGGCTGTCTCCCCCAGTTCATGAAGGGAATAAAATAATGCCACCACCGCGCACCTGCACATCTGCATTCCTGGCCAAAAAATCCAGAGAAAGTGTCTCCTGAGGCCTGACACTCCTCGTGGCCTGGGCTTGTGTGGAGTGGGCAGAGCAGCCAGGTGGGGCTGGTGGTTAGTTCCACTCTCGACTCAACTCAGTGTGTGCACATTTGTTTTTCTCTGTGGGGAAGCATGAGACTTGGTTGGAAAGCTTTTAAGGAGGATATTCCGAGAACAGAGAAGTGCGTGGAAGGCCATCTGCCCTATTTTTCGGAATTCTGACTTAGGGGAGTATCGAAGGTGGTGCCCTTAATTATTCCTTAACCTTTCCAAACAACTCTACGCATATACAGACCCCCGGGTGTTTACTGGAATCCTTATGCTTCGTCCCTGATGCTCTTGCCTAGAGGATAGTGCAAACACATGTGTCCTCCCAAGATTACTCACCTACTGCTTGTATCTAAAGATAAAAACTGCAATAAAAGGCTAATGAGGCAGGCCATTGAGGCTGCCTGGTTGCTATAGCTAGGGCCATCCCTTAGCCTCTCTTTCACAGCAAATGTTGTGCTGGAGTAACCCATTCATCCTCTCAGTAGTAACAATTTAGAGGGATATCTTGGCTGTAGCCCCTTATCCCACAATAGGAAGCTATAGAAACTGCCAGCCCCACAAAAAAAGGAGAAAGTATGTTTATTTCAGACAAAAACAAAACAAAACAAAAGACAACAAAACCTGGAACTCTCAACAGCAGGGTACCTTGGATCGGCCCCTTTTCCTACCTTCTTCTCTTTGTTTCTCCAGACCTGTATTATTTGTCCACCATACTGGTGATGGTGGGCAAGTTTGGAGTCACTGCTGCCTTTTCCATGGTCTACGTGTACACAGCTGAGCTGTATCCCACCGTGGTCAGAAATATGGGTGTGGGAATCAGCTCCATGGCGTCCCGCTTGGGCAGCATCCTATCTCCCTACTTCATTTACCTTGGTAAGTCCCGTGGGCCGAGTGCACTGGGGAGCGATGGGACGGAAGGAAGCACTGGGGAGCTGGAATGCGAGCTGAAGGAGGCTTGCTAAGGGAAAACACACAGCAAATGGGATCCATCTAATCTTGGATCTGTGCCTGGAAAAGGTTCTTGCCCAGGTGTGTGTGCTGTGGAGAGGCACTGGCTTGTAGCTCAGCCTGAAATTGGTCAGAAAAGTAGGGAGTTTTGTTCCTGTTTTAGCAAACAGAATCCCCCTATCCTAAGAAACTACAGAGTGGCTTAGGGAGCCAGTATTGTTAATTGGAGAATCTCTTCTTGGAATCAGAATTTAAAAGGAACAGCGAGAGGGAAAGATGCCATTCAAGAGGGCTGATGAGCTGAGAATTTGTGCGGCTCGGAGCATGTGACACAGTGGTTTAATTCTGTGTGCGGGTGTGCCCCCTGCCCTTTTCTGTAGCAGGGCACTATTTTTCTCTTCCTCAAAATCATTTTCTCTTGGCAGCTGCTTTCCCCTGAGCATCCCTGCTGGCACATCTTTGGGGAGGGCTGCACCCACCTTAAGAGTACCCAGAATGCTTGGTGAACATGCTCCATAGATCTGACAAGCAGAAACATGTTGCTTGGCCTGTAGGCAAATTGAATAGGTTACAACACGTCTGGAGAGGTGGAGGAGCTATTCGTGACCCTGGACGAGAATCTTGCATTCTTTAGAAACCCAGCATTGGGAAATAGGAATCATAGTCATCATGGCTCCCCTCCCCTCCCCTGCACCATGAGGCACTCCTGGACCACTGGGCATGCCGGTGCCAGCTCTGGGTTCTGAGACCTGTCTAGGTGCCAGACCTCATCCTGGCAGCTCAGACTAAGGCTGAGAGGGCAGTGATCCCCATTGGAGAGTCCCGAGAGCCCCAGATAGAGGGGACCAAGTCTAACTGCACCCTGGCGTGGGGCTCTCTGCTTTGCCCTAGGTGCCTACGACCGCTTCCTGCCCTACATTCTCATGGGAAGTCTGACCATCCTGACAGCCATCCTCACCTTGTTCCTCCCGGAGAGCTTCGGCATCCCCCTCCCGGACACCATTGACCAGATGCTCAGAGTCAAAGGGTAAGGAGTCCTCCTTCTTCGCCGTGTTGGCACCCTGGGTCTGGGCCTGGCAGAGAGTCCCTGCCAGAGCCACGGACTGGTTAGAGGGTTAGAAATGGCAAGGAGATTACATTCCGTCCTCTCTGGCCTGACCCAGATCACCATGTCCCCATGTCCATCTCCACAGCAACAGCAGCTCTGGGATAGTGCAAAGCCTAGGAGAAACCTGGCAGAATCTGCTATACGGTTTCCTTTTCCCCCCTGTGGCGAGATCGCCTCAGTTCTAGGTTTGGTTTGTTTATTTGTTCTAAGACTGGTGGACATCTTTTTAGGATTTGTTACTAACATTTGTTTTGCTTGTGTTGGTAGAATAAAATACAGGCAAACTCCAAGCCACACAAGGATGTTAAAAGATGATGAAGAAAGCCCCACAGTCCTTAAAAGCACAGCCTTCTAACAACCTCTCGTGAGTGAGGAAGTGAAGAGGAAACACTGGTCTTGTTAGCACGTGTAGACACTGCGTCCTTCAGTGGCAGGGTCTTTGCTGTTCATTCTGTTGACCCTTTGTTGCGGATGGGCACCTGGACTAAGAAGTTGTATGTGGGCCTAGGGCGCCACCTTGCCTCCAAGCGACACCGTGGCTGCTGACAGACAACTTCAGAGAAGTCCTGACATATGATGGATGGGGCACTTCCCAAGAAGTGAACTAAAACCATTGGGATTTGGAAGAATATGAGCGGCATCTGCTAAATTTACATTTTAATTTAAGACTTCTTGAAAAGACCCCTAATAAGACTGGAGGTCTAAATCCCACCCCCTAAATATTTTCTCCGATTCCCTCTAATGGTGCACTTTAGAGAAAAAGATCATTTCAGCCTGGCTGGTGTGTTCGATGGTTAGAGCATCAGCCCACATACTGAAGGGTCCTGGTTCCATTCCTGCTCAAGAGCACGTACCTGGGCTGCAGATTCAATCCCCAGCCCTCGTCGGGTTATTTGAGGGAGGCAACCAAACCATGTGTCTCTCTCACGTTGATGTTTCTCCCTCTCCTCTCCCTTTCACTCTCTAAAAATAAATGGAAAAAATATCTCAGGTGAGGATTAACAGAAAGAAATTATTTTATAGGGAGTTTGATTTCTCACACTTTCTCAGTTACAAAGGTTATTAACTGGGATTATTGCTGCCTGAGGACAGGAGAGCTCAGGTGTGGGGAAATCTACAAGTAATTAACATGAGGAGACACAGAGGTAAAGAACACAGGCAAGTGTGTGGACCCTGAGCTCTTGGACCACTCAGTGTGATTACTGGGTAGACTTGTTTACATCTGATCAAAGCACTGGGCTGATTCAGGCCCATAACAAATGCATCCTTGAGCCTACTATTATTTTCATGCCATATGAACCATGTGAATCAAACCTCCTATTATGATGTCCATGTATGGTTTGCAGGAGGTGTATCAGTGAGAAAGAGAGGTGAGCAAGCTTGTCTCTTCTCTTAAAACTGTAATATGGATTTTGTTTGTGTGTTATGTCTTTTTCTCCTTACGGTACTTGATCTTCAGAATAGACTTAGGAAAGACTGGTTCCTTAGTCTCTTTGTGTCGTTTTTTTTCCCCAACCCAGAATCACTCTGACAAAGGTCTACAGCTGCCACTGTATAAGGCCTTCCCACTAGCACTCCTGACTGTGAAGTGGATGTCATTGTGTGGGTTCCTTTTGTGATGCCAAATCATGGGGGAAATTACAAAGAAGAAGGTTCAGGCATGCTGATAGTCTTTCAGGGTTGCTCACTTGAGTCATGTGACATTGGGAGAGATTTTGTGTTCCTTGTAATTGTCCTCTCTTCTGATTGTTACCGTGGTATTCCCGCAGCGTATGCTTCACCTGGTTAAAATACACTTTTGGTAAAGCTGCTGACGTGCCTTGGAAAAATGAGGATGTTTTAATAAATAAAATGATTTTTTAAATAATAGCAACTCTCCACAACCTTTATTTCCACAATTTGGTGAGCCATGCCATACCATCACCTGACATTTCTGTGTCACCTTGGCCTAATTCTCGCAGTGGTTTGTGGTGAGCTTCTAGGGCTAAGACTTAATCCCTGTGTGCTAGAAACCTCCCCTCTGCTGACAATGCACTGAGCCAGCCTTCTTACACAGGTGTCTTAGCCTGGCTTCCCCAAAAAGCAGGGTGGCTCAGTGGTTAAGCAGCAACCTATGAACCAAAAGGTCACAGTTTCAATTCCTGGTCAGAGCATATGCATGGGTTGCGGGCTCAATCCCCCCTTGTGGGGCATGCAGGAGGCAGCCGATCCATGATTCTCATTATTGATGTTTCCTATCACTCCCTCTTCCTTCTCTGAAATCAATGAAAACATATTTAAAAAACAATAATAAAAGCAGAGCCTGAGGCCCGTGCTCCTGTGCAGCCAGATGGTTTATTTGGGGACAAGATTCCAGAAAGCAGGAGTAAAGGACGGGCAGAGGAGACGGGGAAGGAGCGAGAGGTGGGCCCGCACCAAGGGCACTGCTCCATCCATCCAGGACATCTGAGGAGCCTTCTGAAATCTGTCTCAAAACTGTCTGCATATAGATAAAAAGGGGAAGCATTTATATATTGGTCTCGTCCCCCATCCATTCATCGAAAGCAGCCCCCTACATGTCAGCTCCCCACAGGTCCAAGTTGCACATGCGTAAGTCCCAAGCAGGTTCTGTCCCCTGGGAAGCAAGCAAGAGGTAACAAGGCAGTCTCGAGGTGAGCACTGTCAAGCTGCTCTACTGGTCAAAGCTGCTGTGCACTGGGGTTGGACATGGTGCATGCACACACATATGCACACATGCATGCACACACATACAATATGTCACAGGGCAATCTGCTAGAACATGTAGGTAGCTCCAGTGTGGGATAGATAACTAAAAAGGCATGAAGTTTGTCTTCCCTAAAACTGTTGGCTCCTCCACTCTCCTCAGACCTGGTTCTGTGCTGGGTTCCAGATTAACTGACTACACGGTGGCTCCAGAATATGAATTACGGTCCTGCCTGCCCTTTCTCATGTTGCATGAGTGGTTTCTGAGTTTTCCTTCTTATTCTCCCTATCACTGATTCCAATTATTTGTGGCCCCTCTGGGAGCAAAAATCATACTTTCTGAAAGGTTCAAGGTGGTGGTGCACAGGCAGGCTAAATAGCAATCCTAGACAGTGAATAAAGAAAAATTGAATTTATTTAAAGAAAAGGGGATGGGGATGTCCAAAGGGAAGGGCTGCATAGCACCGAGCCAAAGAGTCACCGAGCCAAAGGTCAGCGATGGCAGCCCCTAGGAGCTGGAGTCTGGTCCTTATATGCAGCCTCTGGCCGGAAGCTTTGGTCGTCAGTGGGATTTGGGGGCTTGGGTGGTGGGCTTGGGTCAACAGGAATGTGGATGTGCAATTGGGTGCTTCTTGGCAGTTTTAGTTCTGATGTGGTTTGATTCCTCCTGGCCTTTGTTCTATGCCGGGAAGCAGACAAAATGGTCATTAAGAATTATATTGCCGTGTAAGCCTGACTAATTACCTGATTGCTCAGAGCTCTCACCATGGGAGCAAAAGCCCAAGTCACTACTCCCTGGGCAGAGGCAAGTGTCAGGAAATCCAAGGCCTTTGCCCTCGCCTCCAGGCTCCTGTGTGGGTTTTTTTCTATCAGAGCCATGGCTTTGGGATGATGACCAAGTTATCCTGACCAGGGATCTCCTCTCAGGTAGAGAGGTGTGCACAACCTATAATCTCAGGAATGGTTGGTGAGTCATGTGTTCAGTTAATACCTGTAAGAATGAGAAGCCAAGATACCCATAGAATAATAAGGATAAAGCAGAGGAGGTGGAGAGACTGATTAAAAAAACAAATGTGTAAAGAAGGGCTTACCCCATAATCTTTTCCTGTTGTTAGGAACTAGTTTTTGTCTCCATCAGAGCTCCCTGAACACTCTCATGAATTCCAGAAGGGCTGTGTTTGCTAAAGAGAATTATCCTGCTTAACGCCTAGTCTAAGTGATGGTGAATGGGTTGGGCAGAGGGCCCTGTTGTTAGGTTGTAAGCAGCACAACTAATCTTTCCCTGGGTGTTTCATTCCGTTCCTTTTCCTAAAGTGCTTTTAAACTGATGCAAAGAGTCTGGGTGCAATACACACAGCATTAGCAATACCTTATGTTGTATGCCATCGCTACAGCAAAAAACACTTTGGAAAATATATACACCTGTTTTCTAATTTATCTTCATAAAACTTCAATGACATTGATAGAGGATGCCCAGGATGACTGAATCAGGTTTTGTAATGGCAGGCATAGACTATTAGGGACTAGCTATTAGTTATAAAAAATGTTAATCATGCTCTGTTAACCATGATTGTTTTGTTCTGATTAAAGAAAGCACATTCTAACCTGGCTGGGAATTGTACCATGCCCTGGCCTCGTGCCCCCCAACACACACATACCCCAGGGGAGTCAACCTTGGAATGTGGTCCATTATGTTGGAAAGATTAACAACCTTGTTGCCCAAACAATGGAGTCCCTCCACCCCCCATACCCACATTGCCCGTAATCTAACCATTATACCCATTTTTATTCCTTTTGCATACTTCCCCATGTAATCTTTGTCCTTCTACCCAATATAACAGCTGGTTTATGGCAGAGCAGACTTTCCTGGATGACCTGCTTCTCTCCTGTGCTGCTGGCATTATTGGAACAAATGCTCATACATAATTCAACCCTGTCTCTGTTTAATTGGCTCAAGTAGTGACAGGCAGCCCGGACCCATTTGTTGTTGGTGTCATTTACATCCCTCCTAATAAGAGAAATACACACAAAACTCTATTGAGGTATCATTTTTTACCTTTGCATTCTCCTCTCTGTATAAAGGCAAAGGAAAATGTCTATAATAATATTTTTCTAATATTAATAGTAATAATTTTTAGATGGTAAGATTTGGGAGAGCTCTATAGTACATAATGTACTTTCTATGTTGTTTGAATGCCATATAATGAGATTGCATAAGTTTTGTAATGGATTTTTTTTGTTTGTTTGTTTTTTAATATATTTTATTGATTTTTTTATAGAGAGGAAGAAAGAGGGATAGAGAGTCAGAAACATTGATGAGAGAGAATCATTAATCAGCTGCCTCTTGCACACCCCCTACTAGGGATGTGCCTATAACCAAGGTACATGCCCCTGACGGGAATCGAACCCGGGACCTTTCAGTCCGCATGCCGACGCTCTATCCACTGAGCCAAACCGGTTTCGGCTGTAATGGTTTTTAATATTAAAAATAAAACCGTTAAATATGCAAGATGAAGATAAGGATGGATTCGTTTCTTCTGTGTACTTCACTATTTTTAAAAACTTCTCCAATCCCTTCCCAAAATGTCACATATTTTTATATTTTGTTAATCCTCACCTATGAATATTTTTTCCACTGATTTTTAAAGAGTGGAAGGGAGCTGAGGGAGGAAGGGAGGGAAGGAGAGAGACTGAAACATCGATATGAGAGAGACACACAAATTGATTTACTGCTGCACAAGCCCTGACCAAAGCCAGGGATCAAACCTGCAACCCAGGAGCCTGCCCTTGACCGGGAATGGAACTTGAGACCTTTTGGTGTGAGGGCTGATGCTGTAACCACTGAGACACGAGGGCCAGGGCTTCATGTATTTTTTATGTAGTTTGTTCAGCTCCTGATGAGACACACTTCCAGTTTTATATTTCTCCTTGATACTGCTGCCTCCACCCACACATTGCCCTCCTTTGTCTCTGATTATCCCAATTCCTCCCATGTTCAAAGTTCACCACAAGC